CAGGGATGATCTGCTCAAAGACTTAGAGTGGTTTAAAAATCCTAGAAAAGGAAATCTTACTCTTAAAGAAAGTCTCTATTTGATGCATTTTCTCTACTAGTCTGATTTGAAGGTGTTTGGACTTCACCTGATCCCCCTGCCAACACCATCTGTCTTGATGTGGAGGCCAGAACTCAGAATACATATGTGTGATTTGATTTCCCATAGCTAAGTGGAGTGTTTATGAATTAATGTCATTTTACAGTTATTAACTCTCAGCTGGCAATGGCTTCTTGGAAAGGTATGCTTAGTAATTCATCCCATTTCGACATTTCAGTGGCTACACCAATAAAAGGTGTCTTTCCGTATTCATAGCTAAGAAGTCCAATGCTCAGTTCATACAAAGCTGTTCCAGTGTGCAGCCAGACATCTTTGCAGATATGCAGAGGTAGAGCTTTCACATCCTTTATGGGACTTTATCCCATTAAACAAAATTACAGAGAAATTTTCCTTTTATTGCTAATGTGCTGTAGCCAGGTTACAATTTGTCCCTGAAGTGTGTAACTGAAAAATCACATATTAAACATGATTAGATTAATGTTATTGTGCATTTAAGCTCTTGCAGAATATTAAGTTAACTTGTGCTGATGTTGCCACATACACTCACTGTACAAGGGTAGTTTTGAGTATTCCCAAAATGAACAGTTGTGTTTCAGGAATGTAATAAATCAATAAATGTCTGGTGTATAAGCCTGCTTCTTCTTGTGGTGGATAGTAAAAGGTGCTTTAAGTGTCAGCCCCAAACTGGCATGCAGTAAAACATATTCTTTTCAGTTCTAATGAGATAAAGCCATCGCAGGGTGGGATGCTTGGAAACTCTGAGGAGGTTAACTGTGGTTTGCATCTGGATGTCGGCAGGGACTGCATGTCTTTGTTCCATGCTGTCTTGCCCAATCTCTGCTCCCCTCCGCCAACCCTCTTGTCCCTGTTTCTGCTCCTCTCTGGGAATCCCAGAGAGGCAGTTCCAAAGACTTTGGGGCAGACAAAGCTGTCTCATGATGCTGTATGGATTCAGCTGTTACACCTCCATTCTAGCAGTCCCTACTACCTTATAAATACAGATGGATATATGCACTTGTCTTGTGGAAGCCCTGTCACTGGAATAAATATATTTTTTTCTGGATGCTGAACACTGCGTTTGGTTTGGTTTTTTTTTTTTCAGTTTTCACAGCTGCCCTCTGTGCATCTCAGAGCATTTTCCTGTGTGCAGAAGAGCTTTGTGATCCAGTTGAAGGCTATACTTTTGAGAGGGATACAGATACCTTGTGTACTGAAACTAAATGTGTAGCCCAGATGATTTACCTTTGATGTCTGAGGACACTACAAAATGTCCCTGGATGCCCCACTTTATCTGAGCACACGTTCTTTGTAGTAATTTATTGTAAGATGTTAATGCATGCCTTGCTCTACAGGCTCTTCTATGTGGAAAAACTTAACTTTGATACAAGTCCAAATGTAGCTCATTCTCTTCTGAGCATGATTAATCACAGTGCCTAACAAGGCAACAACAACAACCAGACAGCTGTGAAGGAATATTCCTGTCCAAGGAAGATGGTGCAGACTAGTGTGTAGATGTCGTGGTTTGGGCCTAGTTGGCAGCCAACCAGCACGCAGCAGCTCGCTCTCCCTTCCCCTCCGGCAATGAGAAGGGACAGAGAGCCAGGCTTGGGGTTCGAGATAGGACTGGGATGGGGAAAAATTCCCCTTTATGATCACGAGCAAAAGACAGACTCGTTAGGGGAAGAAAAAAAGAACATACATTTATTACAGACACTAACAACACGTAACAGAGTAGGAGAGTGAGAAGCATTGCCACATCTTGAGAACACCTTCCCCCCACCCCTCCCTTCTTCCCGGGCTCAGCTCTGCTCCCGATATCTCTACCACCTCCCCCAGTGGCGCAGGGGCGGGGAATGGGGGGTGCAGTCAGTGCTGCCACTTCCCTTATCTTCGGTGAGGGGAGTGTCCAAAACTTGTTCCTCCTGCTCCATCGTGGTCCCCCTCTCACAGCAGACAGTCCTCCACAAACTTCCTCCAACTTGAATTCCTCCCATGGGCCGCAGCGTTCCCCACACTGCTCCGTCATGGGTCACTAACTTCCTCCGACTGGATTCCCTCCCACGGCTGCAGCCCTTCCCAAGCTGCTCCGGTGTGGGATGCACGGCTGCAATCCTTCCAGCACTGAATTACAGCAGCGGGGCTACTTTTTCCCATGAGACCCCGGCCTTCTTCGGGCACAGAACCTTGATCAGCTGAGCAGGAACAACAGGCTGTAAATCAATGTCTGCTCCACCGTAGATCTTCATGGGTGGCAGGGGGGGCTGCCCTGCTGTCTCACCACAGGATACAGGGGGGTCTCTGCTCTGACACACCTCCCCCCCTCCTTTCTTCCTCCATTCCCCCACTGACCTTGGTGTTCACGCAGCTGCAGCAACTCCTCCTCACCAGTCCCACTGCACGTCACCACGTCCCTTCTTAAATACGTTATCGCAGAGGCGCAGCCGATTGGCTCAATTTCCCAAACAGAAGTGGAGCTGACGTGGAGCTGGGGGAGCTTCGAGAAGCTTCTCACAGGGGGCCGCCCCGATAGCCCCCTCCCCTGCCACCAAAAAACTCCACCACTCACTCAACCCAGGACAGTGGAACACTACACACTATTGTGTAGAAAGGCTGAGTGGTTCTGAAAACACTCTTTAAGCACCAAGCAGTATGTGCTGTCTTTTTAGAAACAAGCATCACCTCTAACAATATTTAATGTTCATAGGATCAGTTTTGATTGATACCATTATCAAATCGAAGGACCAATTGCTTACATCCTTGCCAGAACTGACTGTGCAGTTAAGATATGGTGGAGGCTAAGGGAATCATGAAATTACACAGGACACGAGCTGAAGGCCTGAAATGAATTTTCAAAGACCCATTAATTTTGACTTACTCTAACATGGGAGAAATCAGACTTGGCAAACTAGTTTTCTACTGCCAGAGTGCTCAGTGTATTTGCTTTTCTGGGGGAACAGGCACGGACTGAGTGTGAATGCAATGGAAAAAAAATGTAGTCAGGGCAAGGCTGGCCACAGCACTTATCAATTTATCTTACAGGTGGGTTCTCCCTAAAGGTGATGCTTGACTGCTTTTAGAGGACTTGACATAACATTACTGAATCTGAATATTCAAACTGCATCAGATTGTCCCAGTGGTGTAATTGAGGAAGTCGTATCAGCCACTGTGGGAATTTCATCCCAAGATGTGACAGGAAGAGTCTAAGTGGAATTACCCTTGGCCGTGGCAGTGTCCAGACGGCTCTGGGACAGGAGAAACTCTTTAAAGGGAGTTTGCAGAACTGAGGAGTTTCACAGAAAACTGAAGGCTGGCACAGTGATTCCAGTCAGGCACAGAAATTCCTGGCAGACCTTATTTGTATATACACGGATGATCTATCAGGTTAGAGATCTTCCTTCTCTGACATTCTGTGCATCTCCTTTAACAATTTGCTTTGGTATGAGCAAACAAAACTTGCTGTGAAGCAGCTGGAACTGCACCTTATCAGCTACTCCACAGAAAACGCCCATGGCATGGAGGATGTACAGACTGAAAACCAGTCTGCAAACGTTTTGTATTTCTGATGCCTACTACTGGTAATCAGAGCATGCTCTGCAGAACCGGAGAGGTGGCTTCCAGGCTTCTTCCCACCCTGGGAAGAGTTATACAAAGGTTTCTCTCCTGCTTGACAAGTGGTCCTGCCCTTAAGCTGTGACACCAAAGCTGCATCCTGCAGCCTCAGGAGACACACACAGTACTTTGCCAGGAGCTTAGTCCTACCAGAGGTGATAAGCAGTGACCAAAGCCCCTCTTCGAGAGAGAGGACGTGCTGCTGGGCCAAGCTGGTTGCGCTTGTGCGCACGTCCAAAGCTCTTGGCAGCTGCAGAACTTGAAACAGCAGAAAGCATGAGCTCAACTAGAACTTGAGTGCAGCATTGCACAGATCACAATTTGGATACAGACACCTTGGTTCTGCCCACACCCTGCTGGAGGTACATATTCTACTGGATCGTACCCTTAGGTGTTGTTTTTAGTAACATATTCATATACTTACATCTATATTGTTATATAGGTATTTTAAAGGATGATCTAAGTAAACGAGGTTTCTGTAGGATGACTTGTCCAAGACTGACACCTACAGAACCATACACAGCCGTGGCCAGCATTCTACAGCACCAGTATCTCATTACATGACTACAGCAGTTTAATGCTAGCGTGCCCAGGGACCCCTGCAGCACAGAAGGCAGAGCCAGAGCTCTCTGTGAACATCCGCAGGGACACCAGCCTGTGGAAAGGCGGTTTGAGGCACAAGAGGTGGTTCCTCAGGAGAAACAGAGCTAGTGGCTCCTTTTCCATGGTGGGGACCATTAATTACTCTGTTTTTTCCTTCTGCCCCAGGGATAACCAACATCTGATTCCAGTTTTACACACGGAACAGTCACTTCATAGCAAAGTAAACCAGGTGCAAAATACACAAAATAATAACCCACTTAACCCTCACTAATATAACTTTGAAAGCAGCAAAGCAGTGGAAAGTCAATTTCCACCCCCTCACCTGTTTTTTTTTTTTTTTTTCCACAGCAGTTAGATGGAACATTTAGTCTGAAATAACCAGAGGAGGAGGAAACAGATTTTGCTAGGAGTCGCTAGGGTTGTGGTCTAGTGAGACTGAATTCATTCTGGGTTCAAGTGCTAATACAATGTCACCACTGCCCCTGAGAAAGCTGAAAAAAGGCTAGATAAGATCCTTCTGCCCAGACAATAAAGGAAATGGTGAAACCTGTCCTCATATTTGGTTGATCTTTGCTAAGGCTGTAGCAATAGCTTTCTTTTTAAGGGAACAGTTATTAACTACCTTTGGAAGCTGTTCAGGTCAGTTAAAATTAACAAAAGAAAAAAAAAACAAAAACCCAAACCCCCAAAAACCTCAGACCATTTTATTTTTTCTCAGTAACAGACATTTGCTGCTTGTCAGCCAGATGTGAAAAACAAAACAAAACAAACAAAAAAACCCCACCCCAAAATAAAGCAAACAGAAAACTCAAACCAAAAAGCAATTGATGAGATCCCTCAGCTGCTAATTGAGTACGTGAAGCTTGGGAATGAAGTGTTCCACTGAAGGGGACTATGCCTAACAAATTGAAAAACTATTTGTCTTAAAAAAATAACCATTACTATTCTCTAGTTTGGTATGCTGTTGTTTCTGCCATGACATATATAGCCTTACTGAAAGGACAGCTCAGAGGAAGAACAGAAACAGCCTCTGATCCCAAGAACCCTGGCCCTGCTATGCCCTACCTCTTCCAGGCAATCCTATCCCCCTTCTACAGCTACAACCTTACCCGTAGAGCCAGCACACCTCAGGTACTGCCTCTGGAAAAGGGTAGAGCTGGCTTTAGTTAGCAGCTCGGTGCCCTGTGGCAGCCAGCCCCAGGTCAGGAGTGTCACCCAGCGAGAGCTGAGACACCCCCGGAGGCACCACACGCTACAGCACCGGGAGCTCTCCGCTCACTTCCCGTTCGTGTGACTGGGAACTGATCAGAGTCAAGCAGGGAAGACAAGGTACCACCTTCCCTGCTAAAGGAGACACTCCAAAAGCTGATGCCTGAGTTTCTTAGGCCTGAGGTATTTTGTTTAACTTACATTTTGAGAACAAATGTCTTTCATTAAATTTATTAACAGGGTAGTTAAGAGTGTTAGGGGTATTCCTGATTAACATTTCCATTTTCCCTTGCAGTCACAGAAAGTAATTTCATTTTGCTTCATTTCTCAGTGGTCAGAGGCCAGGAAATTTTACTTCAAGGTTTGTGAAAAACTGATTTTTACAAAAGGAGACATTTTTGATTAAAGAAAAATCTCTGCTAAAATGAGCAAGAGGTCCAATGGGAAATATATTCCAAATCTGTTTCAGCACAAAAACTCTGTGATTAACTGAATTAGGAAAACTAGATTTTTTTTTTTTTTTATGCCAGGTAGAGCAGATGGTGTTAAAACTCCTCTTCAGCTTGTCTGGAGCGAGAGCATTTCAGTTCCAGCAGTCTCTCCACAGTGTCTGCAATTGTACGCTCACCATGCACCTTGTTATCTCGGGTACGGATGTTAACTGTTCCACTTGCCTTCTCCTTTTCACCAACAACTAGAAACAATCAAGATGCAAAGGAATTAACACTTAGCAAGCTCTCTTTTTCCCCCCAATTCCCTTAAAATTTAGGCATACTAAACAAAAATTCTAAAAAGCTTACCAAACAACACAACAAATCTTTCTCTGCCCTCCTCCCAGCTCCCCCCACTTAGATCTGTAACAGCAAATAGCCTTATTTAATCTCCTATCATTTAATAGGTTTTAGTACATTATGAACAGCAATTTAGCAAATATGAGTACAGAGAAAATTAAACTTAGTCAGTCCAGCTTGACTTCTTATTAGAGAAAAACACAAAGTCAAAATGAGAAACACGGAGTACTGCACAGGCAAAGATTAGAAAGACAACTTGATTGTTAATAACCAATAGCTATTTGCTTTCTTTATAAAGACAGCAAAACACTTTATGGGAAAATCCCAGTTTTACTTAAACATTAAGATACAGACACCACGATAATATATGTATATCTCATTACCAATATAAATTCTACATACTATACCTGGAGGTTGCTACCAGAGATTGTATTTCTCTGGTACCTAATCTGCATTGAGTGGCATAACTGTTTGAAACAACCTCCAAACATAAATTAGGTGAGATTTTTTTCCCCGATAGGCTGATCATCTGTTCGTAGCCTTAAAGGTAAAATGTGATTGTGTTTTATCTGTCTTATATGCTTAACTTTATTCATGATTCTATCAGCTACTCTGAGGGCAGAGTTTCTCTGTCAAAGGCTCCTACTCTAGTGCATCCCAGATAGTTTTAGGGTCAATGTCAGAATGTCAATTTACATGACGTGACTAACACGGTGCTTCATATCACATACTTCAGGGTCAGTTTCTAATTGCATGTATAGCTCAGGAGGAAAATATGGTACTTACTTTGCAAAACTTCAAACAAAGGCATAAATTATTGCATGGAGGGGTGGGAAAAGAAATTAATCTGACTAACAAAGGGCAAGAGATCTCATATAAGTATCCACATTGCTGACTAGAAGACAACAAAGACCTTTTTATAAAGTGGCAGTAATGCCTTGGGCCACAGTGACCTCCCTTCAGTGAATTATACAAACCAGGAATGCCCATCACGTAGGCAGGAGATGCTCTCTGGAATGGAGAATCTTGGAAACAAAAATCACCTAAAACACTGACCACCACTCTCTGCCTTGCTCACAGAAGACCAAATCCTATACCCTATGCAAGAAAGTCCGCCAGGATAAGGTAACAGATACATTGTACATTACCCAGAATAAAGTTATATTGTGCAAGCTGAGCATTTCTGATCTTCTTGTTCAGTGTGCACCCAGGATCTACATCAACATCTGCCATTAATCCAGCGTCGTGGAAGTGCTGTCTGACCTAGAAGTATTTAACCTGTCACTATAGGATATTCATGACAATAAACTACTTATGTCTCGTAGACTTAAGCCAGTCCAGCTTCTCTGACCCCTAGAACAAAGGGACCATCATTGGCTCAAGCATTGGAGATGAGTGCAATTCACGAAATGAAAACAGGTCAACTATCATGCAAGTACATATACACTACATAACTAAGCAGTGATGTGAATATCTATTTTGGTCTAAATAGTGATTTGAGTTTAATATTGTGAAAGGCAGCAGGATGATGGAGCTTTCTGATTAGAAGATTTTTTTTTTTTTCCAGACTATTTTATTATGTACAATGTGCTTGAAAGAAATACAGGAGAAGGTCCACTAGTTGCTAAATATGCAAAGACCCATCTTCACCTTTCTTACTGCTTTTGCAAGATGCACATGGCATGGGAGACTGCAGCCTGCAGGGTACAACAGCTTTTGAGCTGGAGAGAAAAAACTTAAGTTTCCCAAAAATAAAAGCCTCACAAAGATCAGCATTTGTTGCTTAGATACCCAAAATCTATTTCAGGTCCTCTTTAAGATAAATCTAAAGCTTCAGCACCTAATTGTCACTGTGGTATAAAAATGACACAATGTAATATTCAAAGACTTATAACATTTATCTGGGATAAGTATTATTAATCATTAATAACCAAGGATCTCAACTAAATACAATATATCAAAAAAAAAGCCCCCAAATCACATACGTCACCTTTTGAGCATACTCATCACATGTTGGTCCCACTGGTACCACCATTACTTGCTGTGGGGACAGCCAGAGCGGCCTTCAATAAACAAATAGAACAAGTTTATATGGCTTTCAGTATTTTTTTTAGTATGAAAAATCCCATTAACAGATAGGACTAAAATGTACATGAGAGATTCATAAAGCCAGCTGCTTAGATTGGGTTCAGAAGTGATGATAGCCCTATACCTGTTACTATTTATCCCCCAAAAAGAACTGAGTATCTAAAAGAATTGCAGTGTGGACAAAAGTACTTTTTTACCTGAGGATCCAAGTTGTGTTTTACATCAGACAACAAATCATAATTGAGTTGTTGAGCTTATTACTACCTAATCATGGAAAAACATTTACTTTTGAGTCTTGTTATAATCAGAGGGGTCATCCCCATAAGGTATGATACTGCATCACGTAAAGGGGACAAGCTACATAAATGGCTCGCTGCAATGCAGCCCAGCTGCAAAAACGAAGTTCAGAGATACACACCCTTAGGCATACAAGCTGTATGCTGCACCTGCATGACTGGTATCCCGTAGAGGCTACCCTATCTAGAATTATTCAATATCTATGGAAGATGCTTCAGAAGGAACTGCCCTGTGGTACACCTATGGCACATCTCTGTAGCAAACAAGTAGAACAAACCCTCTGGATTCTTACACTCTTGGGGCTAATTTCTCTTCTACAAAAAGTGTTTGCTCAAACTAGAATAATAAATCTACTTTCCAACATTACCATTTGCCTCCATAGTTTTCAGTTAGAATGGCGATCATTCTCTCCACAGAACCCAAGATAGCCCGGTGAATGATAACTGGTCTTGTCTTGTCATTACCATCATGACTGTGAAAAAAGGTGGGTTTTTTTAAAAACGTTAAGCTTTTTTCTTGATGTAATCTTATGCCTGTAAGTGACAAGAAAGTTAGATTATATAGCAATTAAAACCACCAGCCTCCCTGCTTACCTGACAAAGGTGAGGTTAAATCTAACTGGCAGCTGGAAGTCAAGCTGGATTGTAGCACATTGGTGGTAGCGGCCAATGGCATCTTTAATCTGAATGTCAATCTTAGAAACAAAAAGACACAAACTTTTACTACAGTTTAAGATGGAAGCATGTCTCTCTGAAAGCAAACTCACTGTTTTAAGACAGATTTCACTCAATGCATAGCAACTCTATGTGGTTTTAGAGAACATACTTAAAACTTCAGTCTACGTTAGGACTTGAATGACTGCAGGTTCTGATGCAAAAAATGTTAGAGCTAATAACAGGGTGAGCAAGTACATACATGTTGCTTTAGGGGGGAAATACATTTAGTACCTCAGATTATTTTTTGTGAGTTTCAACCTGGGACTTTCACAGGCCTTTTCACTGAGTGAATTTAGCAGCACATAAGTGCAAATGCAGGATCAGGATTGAACACGCCTCTCCAAAAATGAGATTTCTTCAACTTCAAACTGGCAAACTTATGCTCCTTTATTATGCAGTATTTGAGCACATTGTAGCCTATATTACAAATTCGGGGTATGAACATGAGATGAGAATAGTCCACTTACCAGTAGGGATAATATTAATCAATGTTCCGACACTTGTTCTGACTCTGAGTAGCTACAGTCAAGGCTATTCTTTATATTGCATCCTACACTTTAATCCCAAGTACACTTATGATACCAGTTAGAGACACAGATAGAAAACATTAGATTTATAGTGTCCTGACCCAATCTATTTATCACATTGCTCTCTTACTCATCATTTTACCACTATGGCTACACGTTGGGGCTGTGTGCCTTATTTTAATTTATGTATCAAACAGACTTGTTTTATTAACTTAGGTTCTAAACGTCTTTCAATTTTGCATTCAGAAACCAGAGTTTATCACAGTTCAGCTACTCACCAAAGAGATTCTATCAAAATATTTACAACCTCTTTTAATTTCAAATTATCCAGTCACTGAGTAGGAAAAAAAAAAAAAACAAAAAACAACCAAGTAGTTTACCCTAGATATAGAGCTTAACTTAAAAATGTAACTTTAACTAGTTTCCAATAAAACCAGTGCAAAATGCCACATGTTTGCTCACCTTACTTTGGCTAGAGTGTATTAGGAGCAAGCATAAGGTTAATTAATGTTAACAAAGGTTCCTGTAGTTATTTGCCTTCTTTCAAATCAACTGAGGAAATTACTAAATCTTGTTTGCATTTCACATTATGAATCATTAGCTGCTATAACACATTTCACCTACAACCCATAAAATGAAATTGATTCAGTTAGCATACAGAGAAATCAGAGCCAGTTTACTAGATGACTAAATATAGACATAAATGTAGTACAGGTTTATTAGGGAAAGACTTACAGGTCATTTTGTAAGGATTTCTATCCTTATGCTCAAAGATATCAGGAAATTTCTAGAAAGCCCTATTTAATCTGTGCAAACTGAAGAGACAGCTTTAAAAAAAACCTCAACAAAACCACAAATCCGATGCAAGGGTCTTTTTAAAATATCAAAACCCATGAGCAACTCAACGCAGCTACAAAACTGTACCAGTAAAAGCAACGTTTTTCAAAAATTTGCTTTACCAGTTAGTTTATTTTTGTTCTTCTCATGATTTAGGATTCACTTATCACCCAAAGTATTGTCCTAATGCAGCAACTGCTGTGGTAATACAGATCTTACAGTGCCACCTTCTGTTCACATCTCCCACTAAACCAACCAGCTGTTCAAGCAGCCGACAGGTAGTTTATACATGTAAACTAAGTTTCATTAATGAAGTGACTGTTAAAGCTTTGTGAAAACCAGAATCAGAGTATTATTTCTCTCTGAAGTATGTCAGAGTTTATGTATCAAGAAAAACACAAAATTTCAGCCACATAGCATCTTAAAATGGTATTAGATAACTATAAAAAATTCCCTCTTCCTAATCCCAGTTTTTAACAATCTCAGGTTGTATCAGGTCATCAGTTTAAGAATCAGTTTTGTTTTATATCCTCCAGAGAAACTGAAACAGCACCAATGCTTTAGAAATGCATGCTGACATTGAAAAATTTAGTTATAATATTACATGTGAAGGGAACGTGCAGAACAGTAAGTGAAAAATAAAAATTGTCTTCACCAAGATTGTTAATAAAACCCAAGAGCATCACCATACTGTTTTCTCCCCCTTGCTCATAATAAGATACAAAAAACATTCCATATGCATTAGCAGCACTTAGGATCCATCTGTATTTGTTTAATTAACTTAGAGCAGAATGTTAACTAGATGGAGACTTTGTCTTGGTCAGGTATCTACTTGAAGTAATCTAGCAAACATTCTGCACGAATAGATGAGCAACACTTTTCCTGGGGAAAGTGACATTTAGCATCATGTTGTAAGCGCATGAAGACTTCGGGGTTTTTTCTGCTCAACTGTAATACTGTAAAGAATAGTATTTGCATGCTACCCTTACTGCCAAGACTATGGTAGTATCAATGGACATCAAGGAATTGTATAACTCTGTCTGCCTCATCCAAACAGAATTAAAAGCCTAGCTCAGCTAGGGGTTAGCAGCATACTAACCTTAGGTCCATAGAAAGCTCCATCACCAGGGTTTAACTCCCACTTCTCACCAAAGTCATTGAGGCTGCTTTCAAGTTGCTAGAGATAAAGGACAGATTTGCAGGTAATATTGAGAGGGGATCCACCTAATGTCTATTCCCGCTCTAACTTCTTCCCAACACTGCACCTGCAGGGGCTAATCCCATCTTAATCATGAAAGCACCCTGGCTTTTGAAAGATGGCTCTAAGTCTTATTACAGGGGCTGCCAGAATTGGTTCTCTTCCTCTTTTTTAATTATCAAAAAAATACAAGGAGAGAGAGGAGGAAAGAGAGGTAATTTTTTTCTGACACGGAGATTGCTTCTGTATGCAGAGTAAGCTATTTACAGCAGCCAGACTGAATTGAAGACAGTTATTAAAGTTATATTGCTCATGTCCAGCTGTCACTGTATATCCCAGAAGGCAGTATGTTCTTAAAGGACTTGCAGCCTTGCTTTCATATAAAAAGTTAATAAATGTATTGTTTACCTTTTCAGCTTGATTCCACACTTCAATATCTCCCAGGTACTTTTCAGGACGAGTAGAGAGATTCAGTTTAAAGGAAAATCCAAAGACATCATACACAGTACGCAAGAACTGAAGACAACTCTTTATCTCCTCTTCAATCTTTATAAGAAGAGAGGTAGAGTCTCAAATATGGAAAAATCCGTTAATGTGATTTTAATACCCAATTTCATTTAGCAGCAGCCCATACCTGCTCCATAGCACAGAATATGTGAGCATCATCCTGCTGGAACCGACGTACTCGAGTGAGTCCTGTAAGAGCTCCTGACAGTTCATTGCGATGCAGAACACCAAAATCAGCCAACCGTAATGGCAGCTCACGCCATGATCTTGGACGATGATCAAACATAAGGCTGAAGAAAAAGTTTATTACTTGAAGCTTATCCAGAATCAAAATTCTGCAAAGAACAGCCCATGAGAAGCAGCCAGTACCTAAGCAGATGCCCATAAAGCCAATAACGTAATCTGAATACAACCATTATTCACATCTAGTTTTGTCAGGAAAACAAATGCTGCAGATATCCTTTTACACTTGGTAGGCTTCCCCCACCTCCACAGAGAGAAGATAAAACAGCTCCTAAAACTGAGCATTAAAACCTGAATGCCTGTATTGCCACAAAATTGACAACACCCCAGTATCTATTTTGGATATCCACGTTTTATAGTACCAAGGTAAGCCTCAGGTCTAAAGTACAGTCACTGCAATGATGGAAAAAACATTTCTCAGTGTCTAAAGAGCACACTTAGACAACACAGCTCATAATTACATCAATTCTGACAGCAGGTCACATCAGGATATTTGAAGCTAGCCATCTTTATGATTAAGCAGGCAAAAGAAACGGGATTTTTTTTTTTTTTTTTTTTTTTTTTAAATCAGCATCACCTTTGGTAAGCTGGATTTGCTATGTACTTACCAGTGTCCTGGACAGTTCATAGGTTTCAGAGCAAAGATTTCTTTCTCCACTTCAAAGGAAAACATATTGTCACTGTAATGCTGCCAGTGCCCTGAAGTCATCCATAGTTTGCTGTTGAAAACATTTGGAGTGACAACCTCCTGGAATCCACGTTTTCGATACTCACTCTAAAACAACAGATGCAGTATGTAAAATAACTAGTAAAGCAAACAAAAGCAATGGTACTCAGCCTTCAATCTGCAGCATAAAAATATACAGATGCTGCCCTACAAAAGTACATGACTAGAGAAGAGGGAGAGGGAGATTCAAGCTGGACATGTCAGAATACATCCTCTCCACAAGCACCACCCTTCCCCCAAACAATTTGCCTGTAGTAAGCAAGAAGAACAAGTTTCCTCCCTGCAAGCAAAGCAGCAGGCTCTAATTATTCAATGACACTTGACAGAATAGTGCAGCCCAAGTACACACTAATAAGACAGACTTTAAATATTACAACAGGAAAATCAGGATTTTTTTTTTCTATACATAATTTCATAACACATTGTTGTACAAGGCCAAATCTAGTAAGTTTATTTAAAAAAAAAGTCAATATGCATCAGTGCAACATCTGTAGTGTGAGCTTAGCTGTATTATCACATATCAAAGAATTAATATTATAAAGCATCATTATCACTGCTTTAATTGCAGGTATAAAGTACTGATAAAAATGTAACTTAGCAAAGGTAGTGAGAAGACCAATTCATAGAAACCAGGTTTCTCTAGTTCTGTGGCTTACAGAACTAATAGATTGAACTAGCTTGAAATGAAAGGCTGTTAATCCTGTTATGTACTATGCTGTTACGTACTTTTCTAAAATTTAGCAATTTCTTCTATAAGATTTCCTAAAGACATTACTTACCCGGATGAATTCAATTAATGTGTTATAAATGTAAGCTCCTTTTGGCAAGAAAAAGCAGCTACCAGGGCTGAGCTCATGAAAGAAAAACAGTTCTTGGTCCTGCAGAAAAACAGTAGTTGAAAAACTTATTTGTACACCACCTTTTTCACTTAACATTCACAAATTACTGCTGACCAAGCATCACTAATCAAAGTTTTAAAAAAAACCCCAAACTTAAAAGAGCTAGCAATAGACCAGATGCATTTTCACTAGTAATTGTATCTCCATCAATATTTATAGGGGAAGGAGATTGTTCAGTTTCCCACTTTATCACCAATGCTCCAAAACTTCACGTTTATGCATAACTCCATAGCTTCCTTTGTACATTGACAAGTAACGTTTAGTTCTGCTTCTCCAGCTCTCTAATTATTTGCCCATGAACTGAATGTGTGAACTGTAGTTTGTTGATGTTGCGACAAATTGCATACATGCTTCAGGACTGCATACAGTGAGTATCTCTGTATATCTTCCTGATGCCCTATCAGCAGACCTTGTAACTGTGTTCATGACTATCAATTATCTGACAGGGGTTTCCATCTAAAAAACAAAACCAAAACCACACAAAAATGTATTGTGGATTCTGAAATCACACAGAAGAAAAGAACTGTGAGTGAACAGGCTACAGCAAATGGCGTAGGAATGACCACTGCCTGCAGACTGAAGTGTTCATATTCTCATTGATCTGTGGAATAAGGATGTCATTGTGTTTAAAACGGTGAAAAGTCTAAAGAGAAGTTATTTGCTTTAAGACGTTTTGCTGCTCTTCAGGAGGAAAGTACCTGACTTTCCAACTCGACTGAAAATACAGTTGCATCCTATCTTGGTTGTGGCAGAAAGTATATGCCGTCTTTGAGATGCTTCCAGTTAAGGGATTAGATCCACGCAGCATTTGTGAAATACGTTACCAGAAAAAAACTGCCTCACCCGCCCAATTTTTCTGTGATCTCTGCTTTTAGCCTCCTCCTGGAATTTCTCCCATTCCTTCAGCATTTTTCCATCTGGGAATGAAATTCCATAGATCCGCTGGAGAGATTCCATATCAGACTTGCCTTCCCAATAGGTCGAAGAATTCTGCATGGAAAAAATAAATGAAACAATGAAGGAACCTCCACATTTTACTACTACTGCCTGCTATGAAAGGGCATGCAATTATTAATAAATTGTAATCACTATACTTATTGTAGAACAACTATGGCATAAGGACAGTTTTAATCTTAAATTCAGAGCAGTGATAGAAAAATCCAGAAAGAACAGGTGAACAGAATACGTAAAAATGGTTTCAAGCTCGTCTTTTTTTTTTTAAGCCTAGTTGCTCTCTTTGTAGCCATCCTATTCCAACTTCTTAGTCACACTGAGCTATTAACCATCAGTTGAGCAAAAACTATAAACTTTAATTGATACAGTTCAACCAAGCCTTAAGCCACATTCATGCTCCTATCTGTCTTGGAAGTGCAGGTTCTGGCCACCTAGTTGGGCTTTGCATCATCTGAATATGAATTCTAGCATACAACCCTTTCCCTTGTTACATCGAGTTTTTGGCCAGGTTACCCATTTTGTGGTACATCCTTAGGTAAGCCACCATCATACTGCTCAAAGACAGCAACACATTTTCAGTGAAATCATTTGTCTAAGGCAGTTTCAGCACTTACCTTATGAATTTTTATGGTCTTTATCTTGCCAGTATGTCTGACATGAGGCCCTCTGCATAAATCTATCAAGGGACCACATCTAAGAATAGGAAAACATTAATTTGGTATACTTCATCCTAGAAACTTATTTCCAGTAATATTATGATGTGTGCGTAATTACCTGTATACTGTTGTAGTTGGAGTATTGACTTTCTCATTCAGGATGCGACACTTGAATTTATTATACTGAGAAGAAAAGCAACACACATATTTGTCAACCCCTTGTTAAGCAAGAGAACTGGCCAGCAGTTTAAATTATTTGCAAACCTGATGCTATGCTGCGTCAAAAGAGGACTATAAAAGACAGACAGAAAGATAGTCAAGTAGTGGAGCAAGGTACCCAGAGAGCAGATTGCACAGTCTCTGTCCTTGGAATTTTTGAAGGCCCAACTGGACAAGCCCTGAGAAACCTGGTCTGACTTCAGTGTCCCCATGCCTTGTCCAACCTGAATGACACTATAGTTCTCCTGATGTCCTAACAGTGAAAACTGAGTAACATCTTTCTCAGGAATGCCAGAAAATTATTTGCAGCTAGGTACTAAAGAGAACGGATCAGCTTTTAGAGTCGCTTGGACTTTCTCAGAAGTCCTCAAGTTTTATGAAGCTTTCTGAATGCATCAGCACATGCAGTTATAGTATCACCACAGCATTTTGCTAATAGCAAATATAATACAGGCATATAGCATAACTGCACATAATATACTGCAAATTTACATCTGTGGGAAATAAATAAAGAACATGGCTTCAAAGATTTTGCCAAGGTTGCCCAGGGGAAGAATGAGAATTCTTACAGTTGCAGAAAATCTGATGCACATTCCTGAGAACCTAAGAATTACACCTTTAGTCAATGTTTTTTTAAATATCACAAATGACCTTATAAGAACATATCACCTTAAAAAGTTAATTCGACAGACCGTCCTCTACCACTAACAGAACATATGGTTAAAGTTATAAATAAAGAATAGCTACACAGTGCTAGATGTTACCTTCTCAAACAGCCTACCTTAAACATTTCAAGTAGTGTTTCCTTCTTAACTTCCAGTCTTTCAAAGGCTTGTTTTTCTTTCATTATCTTTTTGCATAATGTTTCCAAAGCAGAGAAGTCATTACTTGATACACCCCTAAAATAAACACACACAAAAAAGTGAATCATTCTTGCTTTCACTTGCAATTTCTGATCCAGTTGCAATGCATTAGCCTGTGGGTCGGACACACTGCAAAGAACAAAGCAATTCCCAGTAGCACTGATGACTTTGTTCAAGAAACAAGCAGATAACAGAAATTTTGCCGACTGCCATCCCCCCAGCTCTAAAAAGAAAAATACAAAACCTACCCTTCCTCAAGGAACATGTCATAATAAAATCCATTTTCTATTGGTGGGCCATAGCACAAACAGCCACCATAGATTCGCTCCATAGCTTCACCCATTATGTGAGCACTTGAGTGCCAGTATACCTAAAGAAAGTAAAAAGAGGGGATCAATCTGAATACGCACAATGCATTTCTGAATATTTGATTTAAAACCTTTTCTGAAACACTTGCTTTTAAAGATACTTGATGCAGATCCCACATTAGAGCACTATGCAGAAGCAACGTGCACAGCAACACTCTCAGCCTACACATGAATATTTCCAAGAGGTAACACTGGAAAATTGTTTACAGCCTGGTAGCAAATCTTTCTTATTTTCAATTATTGTTGAAATTATTCAATTATTGTCAGGAAACTAATTCAGAAACTTCTTTTTCTACGAACATCAATCAATCAGCTCTGTGTAAAGACCAAAAGGTGTGCTTTCAGCACAAGGCTGTGGTCGTAATTGGAAGATTTTATGCATGTGAAATCCTGAAGTAAAACAGTTCATAAAGTTAAAAATTATACTCCATCTTGTAGTACACCTCATTTTTAAAACTAAATCTATAGAACTTCAGTCTGCTTTTATTTGCACAGACCAGAAAACATAAATCTCACAGGAGCCATCATTTAGCCAATATGAAAACCCTGAATTTGAACGCAAGACCTCTGTGATGAGTTTGACTGACAGCTTCTTGTACCATATGTTTTTTTCTAAAGACAGTATTTACAAATTTACAGGATATCCACATTTATCTGAATGAGTATCCAAAATAAGGTATGTACTTTTGCACGTACAAAGTAAAAGAGCAGCCTACTCGGTACATTTATGACTGTACATAGAAAATACTTTTGTACTGAGTATCTTTTTCAAAGTCAGTGCTGAAGTGGTCAGTTCAGAAGACCTACTTTCCATTAACACAAAGACTGAAGATATAAAATTTTAACAAGAACAGACTTGACATAAATGACAGCAACTGCTAGTAGACTTGGCTACAAATACACAGCAGAATGTACATTATCTGCAGTACTGTATCTCCCTTGTAAGGAACTATTAGAAAAGGTAGATGTACCTACACAAATAACCTGTTCCCATCTCCTCATCTTTTGAACACAGTAAAGATGCAAATAAATACTTGAGGCTGAGCTTAATGCAAATCCAAAGGCAAACAAATTTTGGTAGAAGATACTCACTGCTTGAGCCTCTTCATCTTCAAACTTAAGGAGCTCCAGGATACAATCCTCCTCCAAAGGACGGTCTAGATCCCAAACCATCTTGTTCACTTTAGCAATAACAGTGTTGTCAGCTAAGCCCTGACTACAAAATAAATACATGGTATATAATCTTTTGAAATCAGCAAGTAAAAGTTCCCCAAATTTGTCCTCCATGTTGAATAAGATTTCCAGGAGTGCTCAGAGTGGGTACAATGTCATAAATAAATTCCAAGTAAAAGAGCAGTTTAGCCAGTCTTGAACATTCATTAAAATCCTACTCACATCTCAGAGACAAGGGAAGAAAATGGTGCTGTGTACGTGACATTCATTAACATATTTAACTTAGAGGCAGACATCTCAAAGTAGTAACCTGACTTCAGAATCCTATTGCAATAGAATACAGAGCTTCTCTCTTCAAAATTATCAAATACCATTTCAGATGTAGTAAATTTACAGTTTTGCCCCCACTCAGCAAAAAACCCTTTCCTTGATCACAAAAGCAAAGGTCCCAGTGACAAGGCACCTAAACATGAGAAAAAAATGGCATTTCACCTCTAGGAATCACCCAGATTTTGTAATTTTAGCTGTCCAGGTGTCCAGTGTGCACTGTTCAAATCTACTCCACAGCAAGTCTGAGTAACCCAGAGATGTACAACACTCTTTTTGATGGGTATCTCCCATGCAAGTAAAAATGCAGTGAAGTGAAAGATACTCATACTGTTAACTCTCTCCAAAATCAACAGAAACATAATCCAGCAGTCATCTTCCCCAGGTCAATGCAAACTGGTTTGCATGTGCTAACGTTCAATCTGATAGAGAAAATGTATTAGCAAATTAGTTCTTAATGCGACAACAGTACTTGTGGGGAAAAATACGCAAGTAATGTGTGTCTAAAAGATCTCAATTATATTTTTAATTTCAGAAACAGTATCTTCATAAGGCTCCAAAACTAAAATCCTACTGGTTACATCCAGTTAATTATATACAAGATGCCTTGAGGAGTATTGAGATAAATGAGTAAGAGTGAAATTATGCATTATCCATATGCTCATAGACACAACCTGCAGACACAGAGTTGTCTGAAAATGACCGAGTGTATCACAGAATAGAATCATACCTAATTCCACAAGCGATTTCATAAGGAGTAGTCTTCCAAGATTCAGCATCAACCTGCTTGCCATCGGGTAATGTAACTTTAATAGGTTTACTGTCATTTGCAGCTCTTTCTGCCAGGAGTGCATCATGTTCCGCTTTAAGTTTACTGTACATCTCTAAACGTTCACTGATAAATCCAGGCCAGGGATTCAGCTATATATAATGAATAAGGACACAGGACAAAACAAATCAATAGACTACTGGAGTCATTTAATATCACATTATGTCAAGAATGCAAACAGAATAGACACATTTTCCACAAGCAGCTATGTGACCATATGCAGATATGTGCTATATCTAACAAATAATCATTATTATTACAGATTAATTGTATAGTATTAATTATATGGTAATGTTAATTAATGAACTTAATGAAAATTATTACTTTGAAATATATCGCTGTACACCTGTTTAATAAATTACAGATATGTCAATAAACTACTACACAGTTTATTAAACACCTGCCTAATAATCTACACAAGGACAAAAATAAATTTGAAAAGACTGTAGGAGTTCAACATAAAAATAGATTTTTCTTATTAGATCAAAAAAATCGAGGGAAAATATCTACTCTGAGCCACCTGGACAAAAACTGACTCCAGCCTACGTATACATCCTGTAATGACATCAGGACTATCAGTTTGGGCATAACCAAGGTTATACAGCTATGCAGTTGGCTCAGGATTAGTGCTGGCTACCAGCTGGCCCTCTCTGGGCAGTCAGAGGAATTTGTGTTTACCCACCATGAAGACAGAAAAGTCAGAGCACCTTACAGGCTTTCCTCATCTCAGAGATCTGCTCCATACCTCCTGGTGCAAACAGGGGCAAGCAACAACTATGAAAATCAGAGCTGCTCCCCCACTACACCAACGCAACTTGGTGTAAAAAGCAACAGTCACTTCGGGGTGAACTTCGGGAAATAAGCGAGAGTGGGAAAAGGTGTAATCGTAACGCCAGATAAAATACTTCAGAGGGACGAACTGCAGCAATGCCAACAGTACACAAGACAGCAACCAGGAGCGCGTGAATTTCAACCCCCCGTGGCCCAAGGGCAGCTCACCTCCGTCCGCCCTCCATCGCCGGCCCCTTCCTTCATCTTCTTCTTTCCAGAGTCTGACTTTTTTTCTTCCCCAGCATTCACCTGAGCAGGGCGAGCAGCATATTCCCATTCTTCATCAGCCCCTCACATCTACGGCACTTTAAACCCTCCTCAGACCCACCGACCAGGGAAGACACCCGACCACTTCGCCCGCGGCAACCCTAGTCTAGCTCCCTGCCCTTTTACCTTCGGGTAAATCCCACTGCCTTTAGACCCTGCTCCCCCCGGAGCTGGGGAAACCCCCGGCGACCCGCTGATAAGGCTGAAAGGGAAGAGGCCTAGCTCCCTCCTACCGCCACCGCCCGTCCCTCCCGGCAGGGCTGCCTCTCCCTGCAACCCTGGCGCGGGAAGAAGGGGACACCCCCCGACCCACGGTGAGAGGGAAGCCACGCTGAGGAGAGAGACAGTGCTGCAGCGCGGCCCACCGCCACGGTGCCGGGCCCACCTGGCTGTCGGCGCCCGCCATTGCCACACGCGGAGCCGCCCGGCGCAGCGGCGAAGGGGCGGGAGCGGCGCGGCGCAGGCGCCTCTCAGGCCGCTGAGGCTGATGCAACCGGGAGGGGTGGCTTCTCCGCCCCGCCCCGCCCCGGGCATCGGGGCTGAAGGGCCGCCCCGAGACGTCCTGGCGCGTGTGGCGGGGGCGGTGGGAGTGGGGGCGGGCTGGGAGCGGCCCCAGCAGCTCAAGATGGCGAAGCCGCGGCCGCCACTCCTGAGGGCGGGAAGCGGGGCCCGTGTCCGCGCACCCCTGCTCCCCTCGCTCCTGCGGGGAGAAACATAACCAGCCTTCCCCCGCCTGCAGAGCCCTAGGGCCTCACAGGGGTGGCAAGGGACGGGGTGCCACTAGGGGGATTTAGCTACCATTCCCCTGAGGGGGAGATTCACTCAAGGGTGGATCAACTAATGGTAGTGCTCTTTGCAAAGGGGTCTAAAGTGACATAAAAATCGGGTTGACCGATGTCTGATTTGCCAGGGGAAGGAAAAAAACAAAACAAAACAAAAGAGATTCTGTCAGCTTGTGTTGCCCAAAAAATCAGGGTTCCTTTACCCGGTATGCAATGAACTGAAAAACAGTGCCTTGGTATTTGTTTAATCTCCATCAGCGCAGAGATAGGAGTGAGGTGGTAACACCACAAAGCCAGCACGCTGCACACAGGCAAGCAACGTACTTACTAACCAGACTACACGAATGCACATTTAGCGTAATGACCACGGGTTCGTTTATTATCACTTTGTTCCTCACTCTCACCCTCGGTTAACAACCTGCCTCCTCTCCATTTAAGGTATTCTCGTTTTTAACTGCACAGGTCTAGTGGGGAAGTGGCTTTTTTCTACTCGAGGGTCTGTTTTTACTATGTTAATGAGGAAAGCTCACTCATAGTTAAAGTACTTCTTTCATTGGTTCAGTTAGAAGCTTTTGTTACTGTGGGCTTATCTTGGTATTTTGCTGCTTGATGGTTTTATGGTGTCATCACTCGTGTTTATCTTGGTTTTTCCGTGCTTTAATTGCAGTGTTGCTTCTTAAGGGTTACTCCTGCCAGTTTTACCAGCTCCTTTACCAATTCCTTGCACTTCTTCACAACCCTCCTTTGGTGGTTTTATTAATTAAGATGTAACACCTGGACTGTGGGGAGTGTGGTTGCTCTGCTTAGCCCTGTCCTGAGGGGAGGCTCAGCATCAGGGGGTTGGACGCTACTGACACTTGATGTTCAGGCTCAGCTTTTTCCTTGGTAACCTTTCTTTCTCTCCCCACTGTTGTTTTTCTATAATAATGACTAATATTTTAATTTAGGAAGGTTACTTTGTCTCAGCATGTTGTCATGGTGGCCATGGACTCCCAGAACAGTCAGTGGCAAGGCCTCAGGTGTGTTTGGTGAAGTCACTCAATAGCCTAGTTTAAGAAAGGTGTTTATTATGAGATTTTGTGTTTTCATGAAATCCTGACATTCCACCCTTACTTTGAAGAGTCTAAATCAGGGGTCAGGGATATGGCATGGCTTGGGCCTCTGCTGCCTGCAGAGCACCCAACACCACTTTTGACTCCTGTAATAGCAACTTCCTCCTCCCTCTGCATCTGCAGCAATGAGCTGGGATTTTAGAGTGTTTTGGTCAGCTAAAATGTGTTCGCATGACATCAGAGCAGCTCAGACTCCACAGGCTCAAGTGCTGTTAGAAAAAAGTTCAGAAAAAATAGGCAGTTTTGTATAGTTTTCAAATACTGGTTATGCAGGGGTGAAGGATAGTTGAGAGAACATCACCACGTTATTTGACCACAATTGTAGGAGCTTAAAAAATAATGCAAATATTTATTTTTAAAAATATTAAAATGGGAAGGTGTAGTAAATATGAAATTAAATACAGAATCAGGCCTAGACATGAATAATTTATTTACTGTCTAAAAATAAAATATAAGCAGGATAAATATTGGCAAAAACATTTCTTAAACATCTAGATTTAATAATATATGTAAGAGATTGTGTAGCAATACATTGTTTAGTAATACAAAAGTTATTCAGTTTTAAATACTAATTTTTACATTTGCAGTATCTTCTGAAATCTTTTTGTATGGACAGATTACAACTGGCTAAGAGACAGCACATCACAAAACTTACATATAAATTATCTAATGCCAAAATAAACAAAAACCTGTGCTGCTACTGTTAAAAGAGAAAAGATGAATAAATATTTCAAAAACAATTACGACTCTTGGAGAACTGTCCCTTTTGCCAGGAGATGGCAGCAGTGAAACACGCTGTGCTGATGAGACACTAATTCTGCAGGATAGCCCACTCACAGCTTTTGGCTTTAGATAACAGGATTTGTGGTGTAAAATACAAAACTAAATGATGTTTTACTGGCCTTGCTCTTAAGCGGTGTAATTAGAGATGTGTGACTGAACCTGACTGGACTCAGCCAGTGCAAATTGATTTCAGTGTGGCTTAATGTTTATCACCAAGTGAATGAGTGGATGTTTCTGCTTCATTTGAAATTTGTTGGTAAAAAAGTGGTTGAGAAGTTCGATTGAAAGTGCAATGTAATTTGGCTCATCTTTCACGTAGGAAAATAAAAATCAACATTAAATAACAAATGAAAACAAAAATTTTTAAAAATCAAAATTTAAAATAGCATCTGAAAAAAAAAAAAGGCTAATCAGAATTTTAAAAAGGAGAAGAGAGTGAAAAAGAGTGAGAAACAAAAGGTAAATGAACATGCAAAGAACCGTGGAAGGGGAAGAGATGATATTTTATAAAAAATATTTCACAACCTATAACACATGTACACCATTTATTTGCACCAGCTGCTCTAGGGAAACCCATCTAACTTGTGATACACCACTGGCCTTTATGTAAAATGTCTGGGTTTATTTACATTTGGTGTACATTAAATCAACTCTATTCACAGTAGTGTATTTACTAACTTTGCAAACTCCCAGCTAATTTGAAAATCAAATTGTATGAAAGCCACCCATTTACATCCAGGGTTCAAAATATATAATTTGAATTCAAGGCCTAATGTATTTCCATAAGACCACATGAAGCAAAGAACTATCAGGTCTCCTTACAAAATGATGCAAATACAGAAATTGCAGCTTTGAGTATTAAAATATTTTTGTGCAGTTTTCTGCTGTATTACTGTCACCTGGACTGATACAACAAAGCAATAGTCTTCTTAGAAGTCCAGTATAACGAACTTAGAAATGTATATTCAGAAATTTAACAACGTGAAGCTAAATAAAAAAATAAGGAAGTTGATATTAAACTAAAATACCCGTGAAAATAACTGAAGTCCTCATTCAAACTGGAACATGGTAGGAAAACTGAATCTAAGTATTGGCTTTTGATATTTTTTTCCACTTTTGTGGCCTTATTATTAAAATAATACAGTTATCTTTTTAGGAGGATAAGAAAAATTACCAATATTTCATGCAAAGAAGGAGACCGGTTTTATTTTGTTTCTATATCCATGATGTCTTCATGTACAGCCCCTACAGTGTAGTTCAGTAGTCTCCGTGGTGCAGAGAGGTTTGATGTATCTACCAGGCATTTTTCTGCTTCTTCCAGAAGAGGTACATGCTTGTGCTTTCTAGGGAGAAAATCTTTCTAACAGCAGAAATCCCACTGACCTTTTGTAAATTGGAAGCACGCTGCACAGTGACAGCCTTGTGCCACCTGTGTCCCAGGGTGCAGGTCCTCTTCAAGTGCCCCTCCTGCCACCATTTCTTCACACCTGCAGCTGTGGAGATGATGCATTCAGATTACTCAGGTTCAGTTTGTTATCTACTATCACACAGGTTTTTTGAGTAAAGCACACTAAGGCTGTATTTGGTCAAATGTAAGAGACATCCAGTTTCAATGCTTATAGTTACAGAGCCTGGGATCACAGGTTACAAAATCTAGGTGGAACTTAAAGCCAGTGCTCACTCCCTGACATCAGATGAACATCGGTCTCCTACTAGGAATCCTTGGGCCTTTTAAAGAAGTGAGATGCTGGGTGTTTTGTTTTTTTCTTTTTCCCTTTTTCCTCTCATAAAACTAGATTTGGCTTTCTGCTTCTTTGTAACAAACATACCAATGTTACCTCATATCTCATATTTCCACTGCATGTCAGATTTACCCCTACTTCACTTGGCTAAAAAGTTTTAGCATACTTATAGCTGAGTCAACAATATTTTGTTATCGCACATCATGAAAAACTGTAGGTGTGCATACATTCAATTAAGCTCAGATCTTTCCGGTGTTCTTTTGATAGAGCTCCTATATGTCATTTTGGGGGGCACATTATTAACCCATGTGATGTGTATAGAATTAAGCCATTTTCCAAACCTTTAGGATAAACTACCCCCCTTTCACAGTATTGCAGCAGATTGCTCCTAATTTCCAGTAAGATTTGCACTTAACCTAAAACCATTGTTTGTTTTTCATTTAAAACCTTTTTTGGATAATGGTTTAGAAGAAGATGTGCTGTGTGCTTGTGTGAATCCGTGACTCCCACTCTGGTCTTGTGACTGGGCTCTGAGATGGGGATTCAGAGCTCTTGCCTTCCATTTCCTATTCTTTGGTTAAGACAAAACACTCAGGCAGCAGTCATTCAAAAGGCAAATAAAATGCTAACAATTTTATATACTGAGGAAGAGGGGTGATAATAAATTAAAATCAGATGTCCTTCACTTTCTTTAATCTCAATTTAAACTGCTACAAGGAACTGATGCTAAAAATCCAATTGATACATCATTTTTCCAAACTTCTGGGTCTTGGACACACCTTTAGTTTCTGTACCTAAGTTTAAACTAGCTTTAATATAACTGAGCATCACCAAGGTATTCTACTACATAAAATTTTTTGCCCACATACAGAATTTTCCAGAATCCAAAAGGCTTCTATGGAAACCTTTTTTCCTAACAGAAAACTGTTATGGTTCATTTTAGTATGCATTTCAGAATTTAAAGCCCAAGAGTGTGGTTTATTTCAGATATTTTTGTAATAATGGAATTCCAATTTCTGAAGAGCTTTTTTCCCCTATAGGTATCACAGATATTTTTTCCCTGAG